TGTGGACTAGTACGTGTGAGAAAGCACACGTGGTTCTGAACGTTCTAGCAGGGAACGCTTCATAACAGGTTAAGATTAATTGTCATGAAGCTATTGCCAGAGAAAAGGCTCACAAAATGTATCTGTCTCTTTGTTGCTGGTGAGACAAGGTGATAGTGCAGAGCAGGGGATTCATTGTTGACGGCCCTGCTAGAGAGCAGTTCCAATGGTACAGGGTGCATTATAGCTTCAGAGGTAGTCGCAGACAGCTCAGAGTCATGGTTGCTGGCCGACAGCATGACTACTTGTTCACTTGCTTTAGAGAGGGAAAATTATCGATTGCTGGTATGCAGTCAAAGAATCGACATGGACGAGTGGACCAAGGTGTGCTCACTGCTCAGCCATTCAACAGAGGTGATGCGGTCACGTGATAATGGTTTTTTGAATACGATTTATACCCCGCATGCTGTAACTACGGCAAATAGCATACAACAGATAGTGGCCTGTAATTGATACCTAGGTTTTAGATGGAATGAAAGATGGATAGGGTGTACTACATGGATTTTGATTCAGTGTCCTTTTGTCTCGCGAACAAATATGGCAAGACACGACTTGTCACACATGTGACCAGACGCGTCTGTGGGAATTGCTTACGTGGACGCGTATTTGAAACGCGTCGCTCCTCGCGGCGCGAACTGTTCTTTTCCACTCACCACCTCGCGTATCCTGGGAGCGTTGCACTCCACGTGTCGGCGGCCAACACCATGTCCAATCTCTACGCTGCTCTCCATGCTACACCTAGGAAAAAACGCGCCCCTGCAGAGCTGGATGATGACGTGCTGACCCCGAAGAAATTGCGGACACTGTGAGTAGTCCATCGCGTTGTGCTGTTAAAACGCTCAACGAATGTTGTATGTTAGCCCTCCGACCCCACCTTTCACAGCGACGCGCCGTAAGCTGAAGACAGCAGAGACACCTCTTCCTCCTTCACTATCTCGTCTGTTCAGCATACAGACAGCGCTGCAACAGGCACTCTCGCACGCGCTAGCGACCTGTGCCGTCGCTCCCTCTGAAGACACTGGCATCGTCCACAACGTGTTGAACCACCTCTCTTTGTCCACGTACTCCGGCTTCTCGACGACGTTTTGCGTCGACGACTTGAAGCGGCTATGCTGGTTGTGGGAGTGGGACGGCCAGCAGGTTCCCCGCGAGGCTACCTCTGCGCATACGGCATTGAAGAATAGTCAACGGAAGGGCAGCTCCGTCTCGCTTGACAAGTCTGCGTCCACATCGAAGCCTGCAGTCAAGAAGCAGGCTATTGACGACGATGATGACAATCCGTTCTCAAACAAGGCCCATCGGACATCCGCTGAAAAGAAAGGAAAAGAAAGGGTGAGGCCGAAAGAGGCAATTGCGGACGAAGAGGAGAATCCCTTCTTGGACGATAGTCCATCCAAGCCGCCCTTGAAAGCACGGTACGCAAAGGCAGAAGTGGACGATACCGATGAGAATCCGTTCTTGGAGGAACGGCCAGCAGTGCTCCCATCCAAGGATTGGACGCGTGGTGCGATGGGCTTTGTGGTGAGCCAGACGACCCATCTCTCAAAGGCCGCGCAAACACGCATGTCTGCGTATGGCATTGGTATCGAAGTGGAGATGGACATCGATAAGGACATGAGAGGAGGCATGGCTGCGGTAGCCCGATGGACTGCTGCCAGTGAAACTCGGCGGGAGGATATCCGAAGGAAGCTCGAGCGTTGGGTGGAGGTCAGTGCACCGATCACGATGCAAATGTGAAGATATTGATTGAGTTGTTCATAGCTGCATGCCGGGGAGTCCTCCATCCCTACTATCCCTTCAGCGGACCTCCCTTCGTTGCCGTCGGACTCGAAGCCCTCCACACTCACTCGCCTTCTTGCATCGTCCTCTCCAAAGTCACCGTCATCCGCCTCCATCCTCTCAAGCCAAATCTTTCCTTCTCCCCGGTCTCCCTTCAAGTCGCCTTCGAAATCACCGAGCAAGAAGTCGCGCGAGTTTGCTATTCCGTTTCCAGTCACCACTTCCAGCAAAGCAGGCACACCCTCTAAGAACACCATTGTCTTTCCGCGAACGCCCTCTTCCTCCTCGCGAGTGCGCAGAGACTCATTCGTCAGTCTGCTCACACCGACGAGTTCGAGGTCGCTTTCTCGAACCCCTTCGCTTACGCCTACTAGTTCCCGATCACCCTCGCTCTCTGGACGGAGTACGCCTGCGGACTCCTCTTCGGTGCCGTCAACGCCAACACACCAGCGTGGAGCCAATGCGGCCACCGCTCCGCAAACGCCTCGAAGCTCGCGCCGTCAAGATGTGTACGAGCGCGTTCGTCAGCGGTCGCTCTCCACCTCCCCGACGAAGGAGTTGATGAAAGATGGGAGCAGCAGCAGGATGACAAGGGATCAGTTTTTAAAACTAAGCCAAGAAGAGATGCGCAGAAGATGCCTGTTGGGTCGACTCGGCGGTGTTGCAGAGAGTGTATGGATGTGAGTCATTGTCTTGGGATATGTATGCTACCGGGACCAGCATGCTGATTGGTTTGCTTGATTCTACAGGCTCTTTTCGAATCCAGGTAACCCAGCGGCTGCGCCAACTTCGCGCAAGCGTCGCGTGCTGCCTATATCCGAAGTCGCTGCAGCCGTGCTGAAGTCCTCGCCGGTTCCGACCTCCTTCGCCGAGGCATGCGAGTCCCTGCACCTCTTGGCGGAATTGTGCCCGTTCTTCCTGCGGCCACTGAACATTGCGCGAGAAGAATGGCTTGAGATGCCTGCTCCGAGTGCGAGTGCCGAGGTAGAAGGGAGCGGTGGGAGTCCGAGCAAGATGCCGAGCAGTCCTGGGCGGATTCGAGGGAAAGATGAAAGCGCGGAAGAACTGCGCACTAGAAGCCCCCGAACGGTGAAGAGGGACGGAAGCGGATTGAGAGAAGTGAGAGAGAGGATTCGTCGAGAGCTGGAGATGGATGATTGATTTCGATTATATCTTTTGCGCATTTACTCTTTATCTCAGTATATATTCCATACCATGTACCTTGCTCGATTTGTGAATCGTCATGCGATAGATACCTACGGACTGTCTACAGAAGGCACCATGGTGCTTGTTGTTATAGGGATAACATGATGGTGCTAGTACAAGCTCAGCAACGCTTGGGCACTGAGCACCGGTAGAGTTCTGAGCCCTGCCGTAATGTAGAGACACAGGAAAAGTACAGACTGAACCACGACGTGAAATGACAGTGCAAGAGGTGAACTCTGAGGTGCAAGCCGGGTGGGTACGCCTAAAACGCGATCACGTGTACCGTGTTTCTTGACCAATCACGGCAGACATGGTGCGATTTATCAACGTGGAAAATTGTGTGTAAATGTCGACTGATTTCTTACACATGCGACAAATATTTGCAACCACGGCATTTCATGTCGAAAATATTTCACTTTGGCTGCAAATGTGCACTATTTGCCATTTAAATGCTACATTGGCAAACCTTTGCCACAAATGTAAGACATCAGCCAACATTCCCACACTATTTTTCACACTGATAAATCGCATCATGTCTGCCATGAATGCAGGCTCCTCCACAGCCTTTCTTCGGGCATTAAGGGGGCCTTCATACTAAGGGTGGGATTTTGTGCCATGTTTTGATCACTACCATGTGTTCGATCATTAATGCAATCACACAGTTTTGAAACCCCATAATCTTAATTGCCCCCAATGCCCTACGACAGCTGCAAGAAAACATCTGTAAATAACGGAGTGATCTCATCATATTCCTCCATATAGTAGTGGCACTTGCCGGAGATTGTAGAATTAGATTAGGGTTAATGTGGCAAATATGTTTCATTCAGGTGCTGAAGTGCCTTATTCTGATTCTATGATCACCACATCTCCACAATATGCTGCACTGCTTCCCCCAGAAGAGATCAGGAAGAAGATCTTCACCAGGCTCAGTGACAATTCATGCCTCTGGTAAGCACAAGTAGCATGGAAATTACTGAAGGGCAAGAAGGATGTCATTGCCATGGCTCTGACAGCTTCAGACAAGTCACTGACATCTGGATGGCATTGCTGTTCCCAGAAGATGGAGTACAGATATAGATATATGATTTTGGTGAAACACATGCAATAATAAGATGGTGGGGCCATGAGCATCACCACAGCATAACATATTTAAAGAAAATACGAGACAGGGCGCTTATATAATAATAAATGGGACTGCCTGATTGGGGAAACTCACTTCCGAGCTCCGCTGTTTACAGATGTTTTCTTGCAGCCATTGTAGGGAGTGGGGGGTGATTAAGATTGTGGAGTTTGAATTGATTCGGAGTATGAAAATGTGGCTGAGGTGTGGCGGCAGACGTGGCACAAAATCCCACCCTTAGTATGAAGGCCCCCCTTAACTCCCAAAGAAAGGCTGTGGAGGAGCCTGCCGTGAATGCTGCCAGCTCGCCTGCACATGGTCAATATTATTAGCATTCTGTGCACCGTTGCACCATGCTGCAATGCATTGCTTTATATATTCAATCAGCTATCAATGGCTACCTTCGTGAATCGACGATGATTCTTCTGCTGTACGTTGTCTCTGTGGCCCATCGCGATCACGAAGTTTGATGGCTTACAAATGATCTGTGCCACTTTCAAAAGAAACTCAAGAGGAGGAGTCTTAGAGGTAAGAAGACATAAATCACGGAGTTTCAACATTTTATTTCAATCGTTCACCACTGCTTCACATTTATTTACAGACGCTTACATACAACTGCTCTTCCTGCTAGATAGTATTTTACGACCTTGGCATATCCACTGAAACAAAAATCCCTATTGAGATGATTCTGTGGCAGATATGTATCATTAATAGATGGTCATCAAAGCTCACCAATGGGCGCTACAAGCAAACGGCAGGCAGAAGACACCCGGTCAGTGGACAATCCCTTCATTCATGCATTTCGTCATAAAATTCTTCCAATCATGACGCTTCAAACCCCGGAAATCTGCTCTGCAGAAGCCCACAGGTGCGATGTTGGAGACACCACTGTCGACGCAGAATAGCATGACGAACAAGGTTCCGTCCATGCCATTTTTTAGGTTATCTGCAGCGGTGATGCGCAGCTGCCCATGCATCTCCTCTGATTTTTCAGGCCCAAATAACTCGAAGGACGCAGTGGTCGTGTCTTCTACGTAGAAGGATGTCTCTGTGCAAATAGCATTGGGGCACGTGTAGAGGAGGATAAGGAGGACCTCACGCTCTGTGCAGGTCAGGTCATTGTAAACATCCAGGGCATGCACAGCACAATCGGCGATGGTAGGACGATGTTTGCTGATGTAAGCTCGAAGTGCTTTCAATTTCTCAAGCGTTTTATTTGAGCCAACCTCATTGATGCATCTGTTGAGGTTACATTTCTCCTTGTGGGAGGGCCAGGCTTGTCTCTGGCACTCCTTGCTCTACATGGAAGAAAGCTTAGCTCGTTATGGTATAGAAACTGAGGGTTGATTAATTTCATTTACACAGTAGATGTTGACCTGGCAGCGCTTGCATCGAAGAAGCGTTACCCCAGGCCCACGGGATGTATAACAGTTTTGGCACTGGGTCAACTGCTTGCACATCGTCTCTTTGAGATTGGATTCGGCATAGCGATAAGTGCCCGCAGACGATGCTCCCTGGATTTCTTCCTGACAGCAGGGACATGCAGGATTGAACGTATCTTTCAGATTTGAGAGCATAGTGAGGGGATCCATGATGCTGCAGTGCAGCAGAAGAGGATTGATCTTGATCAGATAAAAGCACTTCTGCATGCACTCATGTGATGTCGTGATGCATTTCATCACCGCTTTGTTACACGGTGCGTGGGCTTGCGAACTCTGTTCAATGCGTGAAACCGCAGATCACGAAAAGTGAAAATATGGTAGCAATAAGGGCATTTTATGCAAGTTACAAATAAAACACATGCAAATTTCACACAAAGTGCAATTTGATGCGAATGATACAAAGTCGAACTGACTACAAGCATGTTACATCGTCATTTCACATATGTTTTGCGATGCGTGAAATCTATGGAGAATCTGAGACTATTTTTCTGACAGCCCCTGCATATGCTCAATAAATAATTACTATAATTCTGTATATACCGGTTCCCCTGCTGGCGGCTGCAGGGACCTCAGGTGCCTTCCGGATCATTCAAATCACTTGCAGTTGCCATGTGAGATGGCATGCATGATGAACGTATTATACATATTACATTGGAATACAATGACCCATCAGACATTTAGTAAGGACAGCACGAAAGTTTGTCTTCGGGTGTAGCAGTGACAGAGACGATGAGGTTCGAGGACATGGCCGAATAATGTAATCCTGATCACACCGTCCTCCGCTTCATGCTGAGTTTACATTGCACTGGCTTGCAGAGGAAACCTTGCCATGTCTTGAAGTGAATCGCAAGACATGCCATCAGAGATCAGTGTGGATAGATTAATCGACACATACCTTCTTTTCAGGCTCCTCCAGCATGAAGTGGTATTGGCGCAGGATGGACGAGACAATGACAAGCAGCTCCAGGCTTGCCAGGTTACGGCCGACATATGTCCTCTGTAAACATAATTTGAGCCTCAAGTCATCATGCACAACGAGAATACACCTACTGCAGCTCGAAGGAGAACAGGTTGAAGCCTTCTGGATCTCATTTTTGTCGCACCCTCCCCACCTTTCCAGCCTGAATATCTCCACATCCTCACTCCACACCTCTTTGTTGCCCTTAGGTGCTACGTGCAGAAGGTCGATCCCAGAGGTCGAATGCACGTGCAGTGCCTCGTTGATGATGACGTCGACCAAGCGTGCCATCTCACTGATTAGCACACACCTGCGGTCCTTCACCCGTGTGATCTCGCTGACTCCATAAATGTATCTGTGTATGCACACAATGTCATTGACAGTGCACGTCATGGAGGAAGGATCACGGACATTACTGATGAAGAGCCACGCATGTAAGAGTGTCACAGTATTAAGTGGCACCTTTCTTTTTGCACCAATAAAGTCATCATTTGGCAACCATAAGTGGTTATTCAGATGCCAATCTTCATATTGGTCTCACAAAGTGGATACTTGGACAAACAGCACAATACCACCACATACATCACGGATATGACTGTATCTACCACATGACCACCAAGCACCCATGATTCAGCCACCCAGTCACATGACACTGGCTACTTGCCCTATTCAGAAGTTATCAGGCGTTGGCCACGTGACACCAGGCCACTTGCCCAGAATGGAACTCTTTGGCCCACAATAGGCTTACCCATGCTCATTGGACCATCAAGCTAGCAAGCACCCAATTCGCTGCTCAATAGCAGCACTAACTACATGGCTGCCAAATAGTAGCACCAGCATTAGAATATGCGCTATGGCAGAACCCCCATTGGCCACTCAATAAGTGGCACCACTTCAGCTACTCAAATAGTGGCACCACCTTCAGGCAATTATCTCATTGGGTAAAGTAGGATTACCTTGGTGTATCCATGGCCTTTATAGATAGTTGCTATAGCAAAGTCCAGAACCATTACTATTTTTGGCAATATGTTCACATGTAGACAGGACAGGACCCCAGTAAGTACACCATAGTTAGGGTACCCAGGGTCCACCACTACATGTATATAAGCACATGAGGATCTAAGGAAGACCTTAGATTCATTCATCTATTTCATGCAGCCTAAGAAGCCTTCACTCCCTCTTTCTGTGACATAAGGCTATGGGCCCTTTGAGCCCCTTTTTGTAGGCTGCATGTCACTGCATGTCTTTTTGACCTAGCCCCCTTGTGGCAGGTCCTTATTTTGGTTTTTGTGCAGGTCACTGAGCGCGGCTAGCACCTTGCAGCCATTTCCTTGCCTTTTAGCAGGATCTATGATGTGCCGTGACAAAGAGTTGCAGTGGTTCATGATCTGCCACTTTACCCCTGGAAACGGCGGACATCATGTCCACGTGAATAACAAGTCTTCAACTTCCTGGGACGGTACTGGAGGAGTGGGAGAGAAAGATGGAAGTAGTAGCAAGCTATGAGGGAAAGAAACAAAGGCTCAATATGCACATGGACTGGCTGGATGGGGATTGTAGTTGTCAATGACGAGTCATGAGAGTAGAGTCGGGGTGGGGAGTATATACGCCGTCAGAGTCCAGATCATGCAGTGATCTGCACCATATTCGTACTAATAATTTCATGCATGCGTTATCTGAAAACCTTTCTGTAATAATATCCTCGACCTTTCAGATACTTAACGCACCTCGGGAACCACACATGTGTAATTCGACTACATTGGATGTGAAATATGCAGATTAGAAGGAAATGCACAAAAGCCTGACATATACGTGACTTCTGATCATAATATGTGCGAAATAAGCAAAGTGCCATCATATTACACGATGCGTAATCTACGATTTCATGCAGTGGTTGCCAAATGTTTCTTACAGCTTCCTAAGTGCAGTGGATGCTGTCGAGTGATATAGGATGTACTGGAGAGATGTGATATATGTCGACCATGTGTGTAGAGGAAGAGGATTCAGCTAGCATGTGCATGGGTCAGGGATCCACGCTGAGAGCAGTGCTCAAGGTCCGGAAAGGGTGTTCGGAATCCTGCCCCGGGAGCCAGGTACCTGAGATGCTGGCCTATGATCTGGGGTTCTGAGCGTGTCTGAGCTGAATCTCTCGAGCGTAAGGTGGCGGCGTAGCTGCCTAACGAGAGGTGGCATGACTACACCACCACTGAACACTACTAGGAGTGGGTGGGAGGGAGAAATGCTGTGAAGCAAGCTGTATGCGAGGTAGTGGTGAGGAGAATAGATGCGACACCTTGTCAGGTGAGTGCGTCTCTTTCTCGTCCATCTGCTTAGTAAGCCAGCATTCGGTCTAGTGCTTGTTCCTCGTGCTAGTCCTGAACTTCACTCTTACAGGAAGTGTAAGCTCATAACAGGCTTCCTAAGCTGAGCGGTTGTTTGCGAGGTAAGGAAGAGTGAGCCGGGCAATGTTAAGTGCTACGACGGTGTGTTGGGGGGAGAGGGTTCAGCCAGGCGAACACATCCACGCGAGGAGCAGTGCTTGGGGTCTGGATAGTCAGTGTTCGGGGTCCTGGCAACATGGCCAGGCTCCTGATTCGCTGGCTGACGATCCAGGGCTTCCGAGCGCATTTGAGCTGAAACTCTCGAGCGTACAGTGGCTGCGTAGCTGTCTGACGAGGGAGGCACAACTACACCACCGCTACACACTAAGAAACAAGGAGTGGGAGGGTGAGAGAAGAATCTGCTACACAGCGTGGTAGCGAATGTCGTGGCGATGAGGAAGAGATCTTCTCCCACTTGCTTAGTAAGCAAGTGTTCGTCCCACTGCTCGTTTCTCACGCTGGGACTGAACTTCACGCTTTTCCCGATGTGCGATTCTTAATTTATGGCGTGCATGTCCGCTGCACGCATCAGTAGTTGTATTCCAGCCATGCTTCGTTTTAACATTCTAAGTTGGTCTGTATGACAGGGGATGAGCATCTGCTACGCTTGTGGCACAGTGTATGGTTCACTTACGCAGTATATGTTGACAGTGCACTGGAAAAGGCTTCATCAGTCTGCTTTCATCATGATGTGACTGGTAATAGTAGCGGCAACGCGCCAAGTTTTTGCGCACGGGCACGGTGTGCTCGGGGCAATCAGTGAAAGCCGTGTTTTCTCTTTCAAGCCTGTAATGGGAGCCCACGGCATGATCAGGGTTCAAACGTTCAGTACTCAGTGCTGAGTATCATAAGGAACGACTGTTTGAGTCCTGTACGGAGGCTGATTTATGAGCCTAGTTCAGTGCCATTTCTGACTGGCAGCATGGGCGACGCAATTCCATTCACTCTCAAAATCTGTTCACACAAGATGGTTCTGAATGGTTTACTTCGCATCACATAATTTCCACATCCGCTAGATAGCTCACTAACAGGCACTGCTCGTAGCCTACAGACTCCTAGAATGGTCGGTCTACGCTAGAATAGCCGCTTTCGCCATGCGCTCAAATTCCTCGCACTTGACAACCGTGCCCTTCTTGCGGCTCTCCTCTGTGGCGAAGACAGTCAGATGGCTCTTCAATACCTCATGCACATCAGTACCAAGCAAATCCTGTCTGCCGGTACGAACAGCCTCGACGAAAGTTCGGACAAGACCGAGATCTCCGCCGCCGTGGCTACCGCCTTCGTTCTTCGGTGCATGATGCGTCATCTTCCCAGTGCGGAAATCAGTGACGGTGAAGGTGTTCATATCTCCGATGATCTCGCCATGCAAGAAGTGCATCCGCATCGCAGGTGAAGGCTCCCTCTCCGTCCAAACCTCAGGTACGTGGCACTCTCAAGAAGCGCTCGTACGCGGCGGCAGCCACCCCTTCTCGTCCGGCTCCTCCTGTGATGACCCCGAACCCACCCGCTCCCCCGAAGGCTCCTGGGCCCAAGCGTGCCCCGGAGCCCCTGCGGTACGTGGTTCATTTTGCTGGCCCTGCACCAGCGCATCTTCTTCAGCCACCCCCCGTCCAACTTGTCAGCGATGTGAACGCAGCACTGGCTGCAGTTCCGACTGCTGGAGGACTGACTGCACTTGCAGCCTACCCAAGCTCCTCTGGCAACATCGTCCTGGCCTTTCCTGCCACCACATCCTACCGCCGCATTGACGAACACCTTCCGACCATCCGTACTGCTCTCAGGCTCAATCCGGATCACCACATCTCCAGGAACGTCAAGTGGTCCAGGGTCCTTCTCGGTAACGTCAGCACACGGGCAGCCCCAGGCGATGCTGTCCATTCGACCCTGGCCTTGTCGGATGAGCTCGTGAAGAACCCCGCACTTGCGCGCCTCCACCTCACCCAACCTCCACGCTGGGCATGTCGACCTGAGCAAATCGACAGTGCTCACTCATTCGTCGTTCTTGGTTTCGAGGACCCGGATGGCTCCATCCTCACTACCCTCCTCCGGACCCCCCTTTTCGCCTTCGGTGCCCCTGTCACTACGTCGCGCTGACATGATAAGCCACACCTCCGACAGTGTACGAGGTGCTGGGGATACAGTTATCTCACTGCGGGATGCACGAAGCCACCCTGGTGCCATGTGTGTGCCAGCCGCCACCTCAAATTGGTGCACCGCTCTCGGTGCGCCATGTGCGCGAAGGAGAATCGCACCGCCTCAGACCCCCTGTGCTCATGCGCGCTGCGTGAACTGCCATGGCCTCCACCACGCTGACTCCGACCAATGCTCCAAACGCACTCTCTTCCGGAACGCTGGCCCCACTCCACCAACTGCTCACGAGCACCCCGTGCCGCCCAACGCTGGTGACTCTGATGTCGCTATGTAGCAGCGGGCACGACCTTCCTCCCCCCCACGTTCCTTTCCTTGTCTTTTCATTTCTAGCGCCCCCCGTCCGCTCCCCTCAGTCACCACAAGGCATGCTCGCACTGAATACGGGATCAACATGCCGGCGTAGCAACACTTAAATGCAGGGGATCAGTTTTTATCCAGCCTGCTGCGTGGTAGGGTTCGCCGCGCGTCACCCATTCCTACTGTCGACTTCCTCTAGTTTCCTCCCCTTCCACCCCGACATCTCTTTGGCTGCCAACTCATTTCTGCCCTTCGGTCCGCCGTTGTGCAGTTCACTAACCCTGGTCCGCCGAGCTCTCCTCAAAGTCAACTGGGTAACTCCCCCCCTCAAGAGGGGTGATGAGGTTAGTTAGGTGGGAGTATCTTGGAGGTTCGATCCCCCCTAAACAGTGTTTCTAACGAGTCAACGGACTGGCCGCAGCGCAGTTTTCGTGTTGGTTGGGCATATGCATATGTCATATGTTAGGTTGTCGGCGTTTGCGTGGTCCATGACACAGCTTACCGGGCTTCATGCCCTTCTACTATACGCCTGCTCTGTTGCATCCGTGGGGACCTGGTGTCCGTACGTTAAGCTTCTTCGCCCCCAGATGCGTCTGGTCCTCCGTTGTTACACGATATGTATTTACACATCTCCGACTGCCCCTTCGGGCCGGGATATAAATTGTACTCAAAAAAAAAAAAAAACACGGGATGAGCATCTGCTATGCTTGTGGCACAGTGTATGGTTCACTTACGCAGTATATGTTGACAGTGCACTGGAAAAGGCTTCATCAGTCTGCTTTCATCATGATGTGACTGGTAATAGTAGCGGCAACGCGCCAAGTTTTTGCGCACGGGCACGGTGTGCTCGGGGCAATCAGTGAAAGCCGTGTTTTCTCTTTCAAGCCTGTAATGGGAGCCCACGGCATGATCAGGGTTCAAACGTTCAGTACTCAGTGCTGAATATCATAAGGAACGACTGTTTGAGTCCTGTACGGAGGCTGATTTATGAGCCTAGTTCAGTGCCATTTCTGACTGGCAGCATGGGCGACGCAATTCCATTCACTCTCAAAATCTGTTCACACAAGATGGTTCTGAATGGTTTACTTCGCATCACATAATTTCCACATCCGCTAGATAGCTCACTAACAGGCACTGCTCGTAGCCTACAGGCTCCTAGAATGGTCGGTCTACGCTAGAATAGCCGCTTTCGCCACGCGCTCAAATTCCTCGCAGTTGACAACCGTGCCCTTCTTGCGGCTCTCCTCTGTGGCGAAGACAGTCAGATGGCTCTTCAATACCTCACGCACGTCAGTACCAAGCAAATCCTGTCTGCCGGTACGAACGGCCTCGACGAAAGTTCGGACAAGACCGAGATCTCCGCCGCCGTGGCTACCGCCTTCGTTCTTCGGTGCATGATGTGTCGTCTTCCCAGTGCGGAAATCAGTGACGGTAAAGGTGTTCATGTCTCCGATGATCTCGCCATGCGAGAAGTGCATCCGCGTCTGGCGTTCACAGATACGCTCAGTTTGCGCGACCATCGTGAAGGAGACGGTGGATCCAGTAGAGAATTCCATGTTGACGACCTAGAATACGTTAGACGAATCAATCCACACATGCGTTGGAACAGGGCGGAACCAACCTGATTGTCACAGACGTTGTTATCACTTTCATAGACACACTGTCCGTAACGTCCATTCCGAAGAGCAAACGTGATATTCTCGATATCCGGCATGCCATCGACGATCGTCGATGCAGGCCACCCAGTGTGTCCGTTTGAAACAGGATCCAAATAAACTGGAGAGTTATAATGAGACATAGAGATGCGACTAAGCAATACATATTTATGCATACTCTTCTTGGCACTGTAAGGGCATTCCCGCTCATAAGAACAATGTAAGCAGCGGGTAGCATCGCCTGCCTCCTTGGGCTTGGACTCCTTGCGAAAGTGCAGCAACGATCCAAAGGACTGGACACGTTTGGGAGTAGCAGGCTTGAGCAAATGGCACAGAAGGTCGATATCGCTGAAGGAAATACGGATTAGCTGAGGCTATGATAACGGGTAGCAGAGATCCTCACTGGCAACTCTTGGTCATGAGAAAGAAGCAGCACTCCTCCTCTCTTGCCCAATTGCCGCGAACGTATGAATGTGCGAAGTGATAGTAGCCTACCGGTTCGAGATGAACTATGTTTACAAGTTGGCCGAGTTGGCCCGAGAAGACTATATCGGATATAGCCTTATTGTAAGGAGAGTACCGCAAAACTTGGGGAATTGGGCGATGAACTCCAACGCCAGACCATGGATAATGCGCATCACTCACCGTGGCCCATACCAAAGACGATGCCGGCCTTCGTCACAGCCGCTTCCATCTTGACACAATCATCTATACTGGTCGCCATGGGTTTCTCGCAGAGGATATGATAACCTTGCTCAGCGAAGGCTAGCGTCACTTCCAAATGCATGCAATCTTGTACGGCTACAATGACCGCATCGGCCAAACGCTTCCCAGATGCTCTGAGATTCTCCTCAGAAGCCTTCAGCAAGTCCTCCCATGAGTTGAAGACGAGTGTCTGATCAACAAGATGCGCTTCAGCCACAAGGTTCCGCGTCTTCGGCCGCGGTTCAGCAATAGCGACGACCTTGCATTTGGTCGGCTCCGCGATAGCATATGCGCTATAAGCCTTCATATGAAACGGGCAATTATGAACAGCAGGATGAGTGGAGAAGAGACAACGAGCTTCATTGCAGACCTGGCCACGACTCCCGCATCCTATGATTGCAAGCGTAACTGGTTGAGCGGAGTAGGTTGCAACGTCGATACCCATGGTGAAAGCAGCGGGGACAAAGTATCATGAGATAACGCCCTTCAGCCATGCGCTACTTGTAGTCTTGTGAACTCCCTAGTGGCAGAACCCTATCTGCTCGCATGCCGGCTGACCCACAAAGCCAAAGATAGCCGGGTTCACTACGAGGCAGAGGCGGTGTCTAGATAATGCACGCCGAGATGCATATGGTTACGTTGTGCGTGTTCGAGTTCACCATCAGTGATGCGATATGCAGGACCTACTATTGGGCGACTGCGTTATACACGAGCACCCCCGTAATGTCTTGGACTGTAGGACTATGGAAGCATCCACATCGTTCATAAATGCAGGGGACAGATGAGAGGGAGAGAGGGAGGCAGCCATGCTCAGCAGTGAGAGGAGCAAGACGTTCTGCGCGACGCGTGAGCGACACCAAACATACCCTCGCTAGGCACACATGCCTCGTCTTCTGCCACGACTCCTTGTACGACTCAAGCATGCTCGTATCCCGCATGCAAGGCCCGCACTTCCCGAAAGGCGACCAAGACGGAAAGCTAGTCCGTTAGAATCCCCTCCAGAATGTCCTCCGCTGTCTCATGAGGGTCGCAGGCAGTCGATTGTGGTCGACTCGCTTGACCCGATCCTCGCTCTCTCGAAATACCAGAGGACGAAGTCGGCCGCTCCTCGTCTTAGACTCTCGAAGAAGCTGCTGGCAAAGCAGCAAAGAAGTGACGATGAAAGCGAGCCTGTCCGTGCGATGTCTGCGAAGGAACGTGCCTTCTATGCGAGCCCTTACTGTGCGCACTACTTATGCATCTGTACCTTTTTACGTTATCTTACGGTCTCTTGTCCGAAGTGCGTATGCTGTCGACTCCGCTGAGGCAATGCTTTCTTACCAAACGCATGCTACCCAGCGGTACGTCAATCCCAACGAATGTCTTCGATCTTGCTAATGGTAGGTCATCAGCGTTTCTTTTACGCTTCTATCCGATGCGTCTGCCCAATCTTAGTTTTGGCAAGCCTGCTCAGCTTATAGTTCCTGATGGACTTGAGCATCCTGATTTCAAGCCTCGTAGGGCTGGCGCAGGATACTACATCGTGTTGAGAAATGCTGCCCTTGAGCAGCTATCTAAGAAAGGTTCGTCGCGAATTTTGTTATTGTCCTGCATTGACACTTAGGCACTCCTACTCCCAGGAGGGTACAAACGTCTCAGTAACAACGTGACCATGCACTCCGAGTTTCCACGACAGATCTCGCATCTTTTAAGGCTGCGCGTGCTGCAAGAGATACATGTGCTTGCAGAACGTCTACGTTTCAGACGCGAAGGGGCAACAGAATTTCCACTAATTCGGCGGCTTACTCGCGCAGAATACAAACAAGTGAGGTCGACCGGTATCATACCGTATGAGAACGCTGTGGCCGTGCTAGTGGTTCCTCCATTGAACAGGGATCAACTAACCAAGAAAAGGCCGGAACCATCAATGTCCTCAGCGCCGCTGGATCCACCAACCGTCGCAGATTCGCCGCCGCAGTATAGTCGACCTCTTCCGCCATTGTCTGAGTTCCTCCGCACTGGGCCTGAGACATTTGAAGATGATGACAGTCTCTCCTCCCTTATCCCGCAATCCAAGGTGCCCCTCTACAATGGTCTTTCTCTTTTCCCTTCGCGGAACCAACGCGCCGCTTTGCACTCTGCGCTATGCGACTTGTTAAAAATCGAATGGCAGCACAGGTTTCAAGAGAATGCGCAGAAGGCGCGTGCGGCTCGGGTGAGCATTCCACATACGGGCACCCCGAGGATCCCGCCAGATGAACGAAAGAGAAAGACACCGTGGCCTCATGGAGACGACAAGGGCAGCCACGCATTCTTGCTTTGCTCTGACGAGAAGACGATAATGAGAGCAGACACGGTCCCTCTCGCGATCGCACTCTGGAGGATTCGGATATGGGAAGGCGCAGGATGGGAGGGAGATGCAGTTGGCGGTTGGGCATCGTCCTGAAGAGTGTAACATCTGGCTCGTTTATATACTGCACTGCACCTCGTATTGCAACCCGCAACGACAGCGATTCCACGGTGTAATATCGTAATACGTAGTCGCAAAATCATATCTATACCTCAACAGCCATGGGTTCGACGGCCTCCTTGGGCCCTTCCTTGACGTCAGGCAAGCCTAGCACCTCTTTACCTTCCCAGAACTTCGGAAGCTCGTTCCCTGGTACGAAGAGCCGCTCGACGCTCTCCTCTGTGATCACACACATACGAATCACGCCTCCTGAAGAGCCATCTCTTGACATCGCCAGAGAAAGTGCTGTGAACGACGAGGAGTTAGTTCGGTATCAGGAGCACAAGGATGAACACTGACTGTTCTTGACAAATTCAATCGTCTCCTCCTTGCCCCAACCTTCCTGGTATGTCGCGTCGCAATATCCATATACATATGTTGACCCAGACCCTAGATATCTCATTCATCCTGGAGTTACTAAGCATCAAAATGACAGAACGAACCTCCAATCGCCCAAGGTTGGCGGAACAACCCTCCACCCAGAGGAATATTGTATACGCTCGGGCCCACGTCCTTGTCCCATCCCGCAACAATGATACCAGCACTTAATGCGTCCTTGTTCTCGTAGCATAGCTTCTGGAAGACGCTTGCCGCAGTGTGCACGGGCGGCGGGCCACCGTGCATCTGCCTATAGTCGCATCCCATTTAGTGGGTGTACACCGCGCCTTGATCGAGCAACTCACGTGTAGAGCTGGAGGTAGTAATGTACGATATCGGCGACAGCTTGAGTGTCTGCAGCTGAGCCGGAGCGACAACAGTAGATGCGATCATGGATGTGCGTTAGCTTGTCTGTAACGCGGTTGGCCTGCGAAGTATGAGTCTCCTGTTCGTAAGAACCCAATTTGTCACGTACAATGTAGCTTCCGCTGGTTGTTCTACTGTCTGCACCGACTACCACGCCGTCCTTGAATTGGACGGCCATGATCGAGGTCTGTACTCAGATGTACATCAGTTTGAATTTTTGCAGCGTTTGACAGTGGACTTACACCAAGGTTGATCTCCCCAGACTTCAGATGCGCGATGTCGATAGTCTCCATGGTGGACAAGCAGACGACAGTTGTTGGGTGGAGAGTTGAGTTACTGAGTGGATTTGCTTCGGTGAGTGAAGGTCCAAGAGCTCCAGGTGGCTGAAGGATCGAGGTGACGCGTCGACGCGCGTCGCGCCTCGTTGTAGCACTTCATCTCTTCCACTGTCTGGATCCTTCCTCTCAAGCCCGCCTTTCTCGCCGCGACTTCCGTTCCGACGCTATCTAGACGAAAGAATAATTCAGAATGGCACCATCACAACTCGTTTCATTGTACAGCCAGCTGCAGCAAACGTTCAACGCGCGTCCATCCGACCTGAAGAAATGTGGTGTGCTACTAGCTCAGTTGAAGGTTGCAACTCCTCCTAGCTTTCGATGCACATGGATTTGACGGAGAAAGGATATAGGTTGGCCTTGTTGAGAATGGCCTGCTAGTACCATTGGGGGATGCTAGCCTAGAGGATCTGGTCATGGCCCGTGAGTTGTTGCACTGTTGCATATGCCTCGAGTATATGCTAATGTTCATTCGTAGGTGATATTCTGGAAATTGGAGCATTCTGGAGTATACGATCAAGAGATATACCCTCCTTTGACCGTTACTTCTCGCAACTTCAGACATTCTATAACGACTACAGGCATGTGCTCTCCTTGTATACGTACTGCCCATGTTCACACTCCGCACCCAATGCGCTGATTTGCGTTCTCTCTCAAACAGTTCGGTCCTCCCGCCATCACCCCGTGAATATCCCATTCGTGGCCTGTACCTCATCCGCCTACTCACACAGAACCGCATCGCCGACTTCCATACAACCCTCGAATCACTCCCACTCGCTGCCGATTCCCTGACCGCGAACCCATATATCCAGCATCCAGTTAATCTAGAACGATGGCTTATGGAAGGTAGCTACAGCAAGGTTTGGAATGCGCGCGAAGAGGCGCCAGCAGAAGAATATAAGTTTTTCGTGGATAGTCTCATGGGTACCATCAGGTACGTGACAATTGTGTCCGTGGCATCTAACGAGGATGTTGACAGTGACCACTGCAGGAACGAGATCGCCAGCTGCGAAGAGGCCGCCTATGAGAGCCTGCCAATAAAGGACGCCGGCACGCTGCTATTCTTCAACACCCAGTCTGAACTCTTGAGCTTCGCTCAACAAGTAAGGACATGGTTTTTCTGTATAATCAATTTGGCTCAACATCTGTTCATCAGCGGGGATGGCAAGTCAACGTACAAGCCGGAACGATAACATTCGCGAAGAAGAGCGAGGAGAAGATCGAAATTCCTAAAGAGAAGCTCATTGCAGCAAACCTATCACTTGCACGTGAGCTAGAGCAGATTGTATGATCGTATAGCTATGGACGTTTGCGTTTTTTGTTGCTCGATTATGCTCCGATAAGTCGCGATTCTCAGTTTGAAAGCTCCAGGCAAAGCAAGTCCGATAGCAACACATCACGAAATACAAGTCTTCTACTCGAAATTCTCCAGTGACTCCTTTGCTTTCTGTTCGGCCTCAACAAAGAGGTCTTTGGGTACTGGTCGATGTATACCGTTAGTCTCGTCACCTATCCAAGACATCTCGAGCTCGAATTCCTTCTCCTTCGCATCTTCATGAACAAGGTAAATGCTAGAAGTGAATGTGTTGAGAGAGAGCATGTTATAGCGAAGGCGACAGACGTACATCCTAGCAGCTTCGAAAACTGCCTCCCGGGCCGAGAGTTCTGCGAGCTTCAGCTTCTCCAGCTCTGTCTTGGCGAGCTGACGTCCCTTGCCAATTGCCGCACCATGGTATCCCTATAGGGCGTTCGGTGGATTTAAGATAGGCTGTGGAACAGTTCTATACGAGGACCTACATATGAAATACCACTAGGCTCGATCACATATAGCGCAGGACCTGTCTTGTCAAACCCACCGAGGATGGTACTGCATCCAAACGGTCGAACGGATGAGTAGAGTGTGTATGCTTGAATATATCCTCCAACTCTATCTACTAATTCCTGTCCTCGAGAGCGGCATTCAGCATGACGTATGCATCATAGGATACAACGAACTTTCAACGGTGCCGGTGCTCGCCACGTATCAATGTAGTTCGCGGCCTCATCTCTTGCACGGTTCGCTAAGTGTCGGCCATCAGCGAGCAGACCAGATGAAGCCTGTGCAATCACACAATCAGAATCCGTGAGAAACACGCTTGCATGTTTGTCCACATACCAGACCTATGTGTCTATCAATCGTCTGTATCCGCCGGTTCGTCTCTGGTACGAGCAGTTTCGAGTGAACGAGTTTCTCCACGGCCAATACTACGCCATCCTTCACTCTCAACCCGATGGCGGTACTTGCGGAGGATGCAGATCAGCGCATTTACATCTCTTTTCTAAAGGTCACGTACCCCGAGTTCTCTACAGCCTTGTTTGCATACTCGACCTACAGAGACGCAACATGTAAGCTTCACGCCATGACGTGCGTCGAATGAGGCTCACTTGAAAGATGCGGCCATCGGGGGAGTAGGTACTAGCTGAGAGATCGTAACCCGTTCCAATAGAGGTCATCGCGAATGGTCCAGTGAGGAGAAAATGTCGGGGTGTGCGACGGTAGTGCTGGTACAGTAGCAGCTGCTGGTGTAGGACGCGCAAGCTTGAGATGCGCGCGACGCGTGAGCGTGGGAATATTTAGCAAATACGGGCAACGCGTCAAGGCCAATGATCGCGCCAGGTTCAGGGCCGCGTTCAACCTCGTGCCGCTTCCACTTGAGCAACATGGACAACGATGCCGACTGGAGTGCACTGCTGAAAGACCACCCTATCTTCTCTCATTCACCGAGCGCTGCTGATTCTTCCGTAAAAGCCGGAGCCTCACTTGAGCTATCGCTTGGGTCTCTCTGTGACTTCACCAAAATAGATCCTCAGCGAGATGGACCAGCACCATCTGGCAGACGCCAGGTCATGATCATCAAAGACTCAGAACTCATAGTTGCTGTCGGCCATGAAATTCGAATGACTACGCTTTCTGAGTCCAGGTTCGGTGGCTCTGCACGCAATTCCTATAAAGTGTGCCTGGTCTCGCGCGACGTCATAATGTTAGCTTAACGGAGTGTCTGTAGATCCTGCACACACCAAACTTGGAATTTGACATCCATGAGATTGCTCTGAGTCCCCATGGCAAACTTCTCGTGGTGGCGGGAGCATTCCAGGTGGCTGTCGTAGTACTTCCTCGAGCCGGATTCACAAAGCTCGTGCCCTCCACGATCGATTGCAAGTACGTCCGCCAGTCCATGCATCATGCATCCACCTTAGTTGACATATTATGGGCAGATGCGTGCAAGTGGGACAGTTCTATCATGCGGCGGATACCTCTCCTCCGATTGCTAAGATTGAATGGCATCCTTGGGGAGAAGGTGGCACAACCCTAATGGTCATGACCACCGACGGAAAGCTACGGTATGTCTGCTGACATGAAGTTTGATTGGTTTCATGGGTTGATCAAATGTGATTAGTGAATACGACATTTCAAGAGATACAGAGGAACCTCAGCAAGTACTCTCTTTTGTCCCGGAGAAGAAGAAGAATAGTTACATTGCTGTCGATGAGAGCGAGAGAGAAGTCGCTTCTTTCACATTAGGAAAAGGGAGAGCCGACTGGGGCCCCTTGACCGTATATGCAATCATGAAAAGCGGTGACATCTACGCTATATGCCCCTACATGCCTCGACATGCGTAAGTCCGGCGCTTCTCAGTATGGATCATAGCTAACCAAGTTCTAGAGAGATACCATCTTCATATGTACACTCTCTTGAATGTTTCGTATCTTCCAAGCAACAATATCTCTCAAGGTCACAGGATGAGGGCTCTCACGCAGACAGTTTGTCTGACCTCTACGAACACCAACACAAGTATGTGTCAGCATTGGTCAAGCAGCTCCCTCCTGGGACTGTCTATCCGGCTGCACCTCGGACAATCCGCATGTACCCGCCGACTGTTGTCAAGAATATTCCTGTGCGGCAGGGCCCGTTCCTGCTCCAACCATCGCCTCGCAGTCTGGAGGGCAGTGACGGAGGAGACGCAACCGACATTGCATACATGGCCTTCGGTAGTGACATCGAAGAGGAGTTTGAGGGTGAAACGGAGCGACTAGGCGTGATTGTTGCAGCTTTCCAAGATGGCAGAGTAGACGTCTACCTCGACGTGGAGAAAGTCGAGGCACGATGGGAACATAAGAAGGTTCGCTGTGGATGTAATCGCCTAAGAATTTTGCTCACGTCTTGCCAGCATCCAGATAGCGATCTTCCGATGTTGGCAGTCTACGAGACTATTGACCTCGGCATTGTTGATATGCTGTCCAAGGTCGCCACATCAACATCGGAATCCGCTCTACTCGACCTGATCCAAGCAAACCACCCTGTATTCCTATCTGATCCCATCCATGATGATATGATCTACGTATATCATGCCTTCGGTGTCCATGCTCTACAGTTAGGGCCCGTACTCCGCAGTCTTGCCCATGCTCTTCGAAACGTGGATAACGAGAACGATCTGCAGTACTCCGTGCAGGATAGCGCAGGCACGGATGTGCAACCGATCCTATTGACATTCTCTATTGAGCGAAAGTGAGCTGCTTTACGTTGTCATGTTGGTCTGGGACTTACGCATTGCATCGTTGCAGGAGCTCAAATCCTGTCATAGGGGTTTCGATACCGGACGATGTTTATCCGACATACAGCATCTTCATCTTGACGTCCACCATGCGTATCGAGATATCTCCTTTGAACCTGCGTTCGGACATGCCTTTCTCTCTCATGGCGGAATCGCCATCGGTTTCAAAGGAGGAAGGCCCATTTGCACTATCGCTTCCGGCTGCTGGTCCACCCGCATACATCTCCTTGCTAGGTCTGGAGCCGTATACTCCACCTTCAAACGTGTCCAAGTCATCAAGTCCCCGCGTATCTCTTCCCCCCTCGCTAAGTCCAAGGGGCGAGTTCATGGTCACTCCAGACACATTGCGCTATCTAGGCACGGTCGTGGAGCGCATTACCCGTCAGCTGAGCGAGATTAATGTGGCTTATCATGACGCGGTTGTTCGCCAGGAGCTGCAGAAACAGGAGTTCGACCAGCAGCGGGAGAAGTGCAAGGAGATGTTCGATCTCGTTGAGTCACTGAAGGGGCCAAGAGTCACAGCGACGAAGGAGAAGATAGACAAATTGAAAGAGGCGCAAAATTCGTTGATGGCACGAATGGATCGGACGTTCCAGTTGTTGATGAAGCAGGCATCGCCGGAGTTGAGTGAGAGCGAAACAAAGTGGTTTGAGGAACTGAGGAGCATGAAAGCCGAAGTGGCCGGCGTAAGCAAGTATGATGAGAATTCTCTGGCATACAGAATACGGTTGGTCAGTATCGTATGCTTACCGCTTCAGAATGTACTATTGACACCCTATGCCTCATATCAGCTCCAAAGAGAAGTCGATAGGCTTCTACCACAGTTGAAGGAGATGAAAGAGAAGGAGAGGCTGCGCAAGAATAGGCTCCTTGACAGTGGCGAGACGCTAGGTGTCTCTCAAGCGTTCGAACTTGGCAAGCGAACCAATACAGAGTATGTTCTTCGCTTTTCGTTCATTATATACACTTGACGTATCTCTATGCCTCTAGGCGCGCCAAGATCGATAGCATAGAGAACGAGATCATGAAATTGGCAGCGAAGTTGGATGTGACCTTAGGGCGACCACCTCAATTGCAGGGCCCCGCCATTCAAGAGTCGTGAATGATGTAATTCTTCGTCGTGCTACCTCTGTACTTAAGTCCGATCTTCGTGTTGTACACTAGCGCTTTCCAGAACAAGCTGTGGGGTTTTCTCAGAAAGGAACTTTTTCATCGGAGTCCTTGCCAATCATGGTCTGCATTTCCCCAAGTAAAGAGAAAAAGGTGCGGTGTATATGCACCAGTATGAATTCACCCTGTTGCGCGGATCACTTGGGCGGCTTCACGAACTGCTCGGGCGGTCCGAGGCGCGTGACCTCGCGTAACGCCTCACCATCGTTCACGTGACCGCGTCAATTTCCACACCGGAACGATCTTCAAGCCCCGTCGTACAGATCGCTGCTATCTTACAAACACTGTTGTGACGCTCTCCTATGGGAAACTTTCCAAGCGAACTAGACGTGCCAATAGGTTGGGCAGGACCAAAAATTCCTGAAGAATATAACAATGTCAAAGTCACCAGCTCCGCCCGCCGACTTTCGACATCCAGAGTCTGATCCCAAAGAACCTCTTCGGAAGGAGTCCACACAATGTCAAAATTGTCTTAAATCGCGTGCAGATGGAGCTATCATGTCTCGATGTAGTGCTTGCAGAGTTGATCTGTACTGCGTGAGTGATCATCTTTCCTTCAGGCTTATGAACTGTGTAGATGTCATGCTGTTAGAGCAAAGAATGCCAAAAGCAAGCGTGGCCAGTTCATAAAGCTAGATGCAAGCTTAATCGCCGGGCGCAGACGTTGGGAGACGGGCGGACTGAGCGCCTGAAAGTCCTCCGTGACTTTACCCAGAAACACCGGCCAACTATCTCGGAAGCGGGTCTTCGCGCATTGGACCTCTGTGTTGATCGCACTCGTGCTGATCGCGATGTCTTAATCATATATCTTCGGCCACGACCGGGAGCAACCCGCATAGAGACGCAGTTCTATGTCATCGATGCCGATGTCATGCCTTTCGAAAGCCTTCCCAAAGAGAAACATGAAGAGATGCGGTCACAGTTGAAGTACGCCTCCGAGGTCAATGTGAAGCATGGAGCAGTGGGTGCTATGTTTTTATGCTGTCGTGTGCGGACGAGAGCATATTGAACATCGCGCCGGTGGGCTTTTCACAGGATGTATTGGACCAGTTGCATCCAGGGCAGCCGTGGAAGGAGTTGTTGATTACTAGGCTGAACGAGGGTATTGTGAATTGATGATTGCAGAGTATCGCAACTTACCTATGTCCAGCTGTATCACGTATACTATATTGCTTGTGTTCTACTTCCTTATCGTAGGTGCATATAACTCCTCTTGCCCCCTTCCGTTTCTTTATATGTGACTCAGATATATCGGAACTACGACCGTGTATAGCACGGAATATTGCTGCTCGAATGGATCAATTCATGGACAATAACGATAGCGATTACTTCTGAGAGATGGATAAAAGGGAGTGCTGCATACTGTGTGGATACCGGACCAGGTTTCCTGCCGAAACACGTTAACGGTTCTCGAAGTGCTCACCGTGTGTTCACGATGATTGTGGTTTGGATATACAATAAGCTCCTTCTGAGTACGACTTTGTACCAACATCTCAGCCGTCGACGCTCCAAGCGCAGCGTTGAAACTTCACAATTATTGTATTGTCACTACCGTAGTAGTAAGTACGCTGCGGCAGTGGCACCGGCCACGCGAGGCCTAATAGAGACGCGTATCTCACGTGCCCGCGTGCCATTGTGTTCAAATCAAATCGCATGCGATTGCGTTTCAATCCAGCCTTCATTTGCCACGCTTAGCCTCCTCCTTTGATACTGCACTTGCAGAATCCAACCTTCCTGAGCAGAACTCTTTGGGAGGAAAGAGGCAATATGAGCTTATTTCAGAATCCCGCCCAGAACAACAACAATGCAAATCAACCATCAGGTAACGCAAGCAATCCTGCCGAGGCACCTGCTAGCGGGACGAGCAATGTTTTCGGTAGCGGCATAAGTTTTGGAGGTCGGTCCCGTTTCTGAATTCCCGTTTCTGTACTGAAAGCAGCCGCGATGGCAGCGAGCACCGCCGCTCCACTTTCTTTTGGAAGAACGATGGGTACTCAGCCCTTCAGCGGAGCCAGCGCAGGAACTAGCACGGCCACGCCTTCTCCAGGTGGTGCATCGAACACTTCCAGTACCCCCACACCTAATGCGTTCGGTGGTTTTACAACAAACGCGACGACTCCGGGCACGAGCTTGTTCGGTTCATCGGCTACAAGTAATCAGACACCGGGGAGCACTGGGACGACTGGGGGCATGTTTGGCTCGTCGAACGCTACGAGCACACCCGCCCCCGGAGGTAGCACCTTTGGGAATTTGGGCAATACAGGGCCAGCTACCACCACTCCCGCCGCTGCAAGCATTTTCGGAAATCTAGGTAGCGCGGGATCATCCACTGGAAGCAATGCACCAGCAGCCAGCGGAAATGGCGTGTTTGGCAACGCAGGTGCATCAACGACGCCGTCTACTGGAACGACTTTGTTCGGCAATGCAAATAAGCCGGTTGTAAACTCGCTCGGTGCTGGCAGTGGTTTGACGGCACCGGCAGGAGGGAATCTCTTTGGTACATCGACGGCCGTGCCTGGCACATCTACTCCGGGTGCTGCGACACTCAGCACTCCGGCTGGTGGCTCTCCCTTTGGAGCAGCAAAACTTCCTGAACAAGGGGCGTCTTCGGCATCCCAACCCGCACCTCCCAATTGTACGTTATTCAAGAGCTCTCACATTGCTGTATCTGATGATCGTTCAGTCTTTGCACAACCAAGTACGATCGGCACGTCGGCGACAGGTACGTGGCGTTTTCTGCTGTTCTGCGCTCAGACCTCATGAAAGCCCTAGCACCAGCTACAGCGCCTGCAGGCGGACTGTTTGGCAGTGTCGCCAAGCCCGGAGAAGCCGCTGCGAGTTCTGTACCTGCAGCTCCTGCTGCGGGTGCTTCTGCTTCGTTTTCAGGAGGCCTTTTCGGCAACAAGCCTAGCACTCCATCTGCACCGAGTGGCAGTACGCCTGCCGCAGCATCGGCGCCCCTGTTTGGTTTCGGTACACCAAGTACTACTTCCATGGATGCTAGCAAGGACACATTAACTGCGTCGACGAGCGGGGCGACCGGTACTTGTGAGCACAGCTACACGACTCAGGTTCTGTCTTTTTATGCGACAACCTGATCTTCTGACTTTGTGTAGCCAGCTTTAATTTCTTCGCCAAGAAGCCAGGTGAACAGAAAGATGCTACCGCTGCGTGTGCGTACGGATTGTTGGACTCCGCTCTGCACAGGCTGACGAACGATGCTTGCAGCCACAAGCACTAGTACATTCATTTTCGGTAGCACCAAGGATAAGGGTAAGGAGAAAGATACAGGAACCGCGCCACCGGAGAAGAAAGACGGGACCTGTCAGTTCTTCATATCAAGTCTCACAATTGAGATTCTCATTTGAGTCTGTTAGCTACGTTATTCGCGACGCCGGCGAGTATAGCAACGAAAGAGGGAGACAAGTCTAAGGATGCTACCAACGCAGGTATATCATCGTGGTCATCTTATCCACTAGCGTATTCTCATTTTTATGCTCCAGTTGCACCTTCTGCCTCTGGCATTTCACCTAGCGCGAGCGCGCCGTCGATTGCAGTGCCGCCGCCATCCGTGCTTCGTGGGAAGACGCTGGAGGAGATCGTGAACAAATGGTCAACGGAGCTTGAGACTCAAGTGCGTGAGTTCGACAAGCTCGCCAGCGAGGTTGCGGTGTGGGACCGCACGCTCATCGAGAACGGCAACAATGTACGTGATCGACTGTGATCTCGTGAGATCTCTCTGACATGACATGTATCGAGATAGTTGGCGGCGTTGTATGCGCACGTTCTTGCTGCGGAGCAGGAGCAGAATGATATTGACCAATCATTGGATCATATCGAGCAACAGCAGAAGGAGCTCACGGCCACCTTAGAAGCGTACGAGAAATCGACCGAGGAAATCTTGGGAGGTCAAGGTGGAAACCTGCGTGCTCTCGACACAGGCCCCGCCGATACTGAACGGGACAAGAAGTATGTATTCATGATGGTTGTGTTGGCCTTGACATGGTCTGATGCATCGTGCTCTTCAGCTACACACTGGCAACAGAACTGCACGGCCACCTTGATGACCTTTCTGGCTCCCTCACACAGATGATCGATACCGTGAACGCGCTCGCTCTCTCGTCTGAGAAGTCAGAGCAAGACCATGGAGAGGACGCCATGACGCAGATTGCGCAAATCTTGAACGGCCATCTGGAGAGTCTGCTGTGGATCGACGGCGCGGTGCAAGAGGTCGATAGCAAGATCAAGGATGTGGAGAAGCGCGTGCGCATGGCGGGAGAGACTAGCCTAGGCGGCGGTTTCAAGGGCAAGAGCTTCGGGCTGGGAGCTAGCCGATGAAAGATGCGTAGATGAACGAGGGTGTTAGCTACTTGGTTTGTCATGTACGATTGCCGTTGATGAACATCATTGCTCATTTCTGCTGCTTAAGCTTCGATTGTACATGTGAACCTGCAATGCGATGTAACCAGACCTAACAAATGTCCCAATCAATATAGCCTTGTACATATCCCGAAGAGCGATTGTATTATCCTGTATGCTGCCCGCTATCGTTCGTCTGGTGTCTGGAACATCTTCTGCAACATCCTCCTATCCCACTCGTCGAACTTCATGGCACTTGTCGCGTAGTGGTTGCTGCGGGCCTCCTGACGGACTTGATTGATAACAATACACTCGTCGATGCCCAGCTGCCTTCCCTCATGGAGGGACAGTGCTTCTTCGCGCTCGCAAATCTTGACACGGGCATTTAATAAGAGGTCAGGGAGGTTGTACTGCCGAGCAAGGACAATCTGTTCGACGAGTGTGGCGACCTCTGGGAGACGCTCCCTCACCAGCTGGCAGACTGCATCAAACTGCCACTTGTAAGCGAACTCCAGTACGGATACCCATTCTTCCGTCGTCTCAAGGTCGTATTTCCCAATACGTCTAGATGAATGAGATATGTCAGAGAAGGCGAAAGACAGAAGGTGCACTTGATGTAACCTTGGGTACAGCACTGACAGGAAACGCTCCATGTCGATGCTCTTCGTGCATACTAGACGGATGGGGTTATCATCGGACAAGCCCTCTGCCGATTGCTTTTGCGGCAGCGAGAACAGGTCCTGGAATAGCTTGGAGTCACGCTCAAGGAAATATCGATGAACGTTGTAAAACGTGTCTTCGACCTGACAATGGTATTCAGATGTCTTCGCCCGTTATACAAGAATTTCTGAGCCTACCAGGAAGATGACATTTCCGTCCTTGAAGTAGAACTTCTGATGTCGTTTATGGGTTGTCTCAATAGTTCTCTTTACAAGAGGAGCCGAGGACGCGGACAACATCGTTGGAAGATGTGAGGATTGCGGTGTGGTGATGATGGCTAAGGGGCATGCGCAGGGCGAACGGATTGCAGCGGGCCCCTAATGATATCTGGCCCAAGCTGCCAGACGCCGCTGATCCTGTGAGGAATCCGTACCCAGAGCCTCGGCGATGCGAAAGCGTGCATTAACAGGGCTGGTATCCCGAGTAATGGCGCCCCCCTAACAAAGTCGGCCAGACTTGATTTGGCAAGTCCGGATGAAGGAAAATTACGCATGATCCGTGGCCGAAGGAAGGTGAAGTTGAGAAGAGAGCAGTCTTAAAACCGTTCAGCAATCTTAATCTTGACACGGGAGAATATTCGACAATTGCATGGAAAGTTGACGACGTTGCAACATCGATACTGAGCGTAAAAGATATGGAAATGTACATAGGCGATGATCGTTGAGCAACTCAAGGCCTCCTACCGCCGCACAATGCTGGAAACTCGAGACAAAATACTGGGACTGACAGTATATGCTGTGCACGATCAACGACACCATGAGGGGCAGATATGATGGTTGTGCCCTTCGTCGATTAGTATGCGACCTGTGGGGCCAATTGATCTCAGCTGCTTTTCAGAATCGATAGCGTTCAGTGCCTCACGAGTTTCTTCAGCGCTCGACGCATTTGTTCCGATGACGGTTTCGCGTGTCAGAAAGGGCGTACCTCCGTGGGGCGAGCCGCAGCGGAAGTTGCAGTGTGCACCTGGCAGGCTCAATAGTAAAGATTGGAGTATAAACGGGCGCCTCTCTAATGAGCCTTAGATTTCGATGCAGTGTATAGAATTATGTATGTTCTTATGGAAAAATACACGAAAACACTCTGTGGTAATATTCATTTCATTAAAAATAATCAGTTTTAAGTTTACTACTTGCAATACAGTGGCTTTTAAAGGGTTTCCACAGATTTTCCCGGTGGAAAGATAATTTTCTCTACATAGGCTGGGTTCCATGTCGCTGCTAGCGCTCAATGATTGTTGATCCGGAACTTCATAGCTCTCCGTTTCGGACGGATATTACGCAAGCCCCTTCGTCTGTCCGGATTCTCCTCGGACACGTCTTCGGAACGAACCAGCACTTAATTGGTCCTTGCTTCTGATATTCACTGAGGGAGGCTGAGCTTCCTGGAGAGTCCATCTGGCAGTGATGTAGGGGTCAAGGCTTGACCCCTTAGACTTGACTGGGGTCAACTGATTGACCCCCCCGTCAATGACCAGGGTAAGATGGGGTCAAGAGGTCAAGCATGACCTGCACATGATCCATTATTTACCATAATTAGCAATAACGGCTTAAAGTGATCATTCTCGCAATGAACTGACGTTTGGTTGAACTTGTACACTAATATGAATGTTCACGCGCCGCCACGGGGTCACGCGCATATCACGCTTGACCCTTTCTCTAGGTCAAGATCAAAGTGCCTTACCCCCGGTTATCGCCCGGTTATCGCCCGATAACCGGGGTCAACGACAACCTGGAGCATTGTTCAACTAACTTCTTGTGGCGTCGCTAGCGTAACAGAGCACAGAGATAAGTTCGTTGCTCAGGAATGCTAATCTCGCTCATGCACCTCAGGACAATCACGCAAGAAAGTCCAAAACGCGAGACGCCAATATTTCAGCTCTTATCGACACCTCGTCCCAGACTCAAATTACTCAGCCATTCACCAGCCTCGGCGAGCATATTAGACGGATCAATGACGTCCGTGCGTATGAATGACAATGCCTCAAATAATACATTGTTTTGCCTGTTTAACCTTCGCGGCTACTACACGAGACAACTTCACGGAATGAGGACAGCTCGGAATTTGGCCGAGCTGCGGTGATCATACGCTTCCTGCGCCTTCTCGAGGGGGAACGTCTGCACCATGCATTTAATCCCTGTCGTCCTGACGAACTCCAATGTATCCTCGCCATCCTTGGGCGTGCCGGTGTTCCATGCGCGCAAGGTGAGACGTTTGCCGACAAACGGAACTGAGGCAGACATGTAGACTGAGCCTTTGTACAAAGTCAAAGAGCGTTGTCACTCACGTAAAGGAATGGTTGCGTTTCCAGTCAAAGCGAGGATCAGGAGCTCGCCGTCCACGGCGAGCCCGCCCACGAGCGCCTGAATAATCTCGGGGTTCGGTGCCGTACACACGATCAGTTTCGCCCCGCCGAGCTTCTGCAGCTCCTCCGCCTGGTCGACCTGGGAACCATCGAAGTAGTACTGGGCGCCGAGCTCGGTTGCAAGGTCCTTCTTCGCTGAGTTGGACGACAGGGCAATGGTGCGGAAGCCCATCGCTTTCGCAACCTGCAGGGCAAGGTGGCCAACACCGCTGCGAAAAAAAGAAGTTGCCACGCTGTCGGAATGTGGATTGTTGTGAAAGCATGGCATGAGACATACCCAATGCCTTGGACCGCAACCAAGTCGGGCGGCGTGGCGTTCATGTGGCGAATCGAATCTGCGACGATCCATGTGTAAGTGACACCGGCCATCTTGGATTTGACGCACTGAATGCTGTCAAGCCAGCGCAAAGCACTGGCGCTGCCTCTTTTGGATCCATATCCTCGGGGACACTGATGATAGACTCGGTCTTCAATGTGACATATTGAGCATATCCGCCATCCTGACCGATACCTGGAAGGAGATGTGCTGATTAGAAACCAAGGACGCGCGTCCCACTCTCAGGCACAAGCGCACCGTTGACCAGCTGGTTGCTGCACATGGAGAAATCGCCAGCACGGCATCTCTCGCAAACGCTGCAATGGCCTCCGTGCCAGCCTGAGCCCACACGCTGGCCGACCTTCCACACTTTGTCGGTGGGGTGGACGGCTGCGACATCACCGACGACCTCGTGTCCTGGGATACGGGGGTAAGTGACGGTAGGGAAGAACTGGTGCTTGGCTATCTCATCGCTGCGGCATGGCGAATTCAGATCGTGTAGGTCGACGTCGTGCGTGCAGGACATACCTAGCACAGACACCGCATGCAAGCACTTTGACAACGATCTCGCCGGGCTGGGGGTCCTTCCATTTGACGTCGATTGGCTCGAGGTTACCGCCCTTCTCCAAGAAGGCATAGGCTTTGTAAGTTGCTGGGTGGGACGCAGACGACATGTTTCAAAATAGCACGATTAGTCTGGGATGACTGCGACCAAGGATTTCCTGATCTACGACTTTATACCACGACTGTATACCCCGACTTTGTATACAAGGGACTATTTCTATCGCATCGCGATTCGGCGGTCTTAGGTATGATGGATGGCGGGCTTCTCACATAGATCACCGAGGGTTCGGCCAGGCTCGGTCAGGAGTTATGAGATGTCCGAAAGCTAAAACGTCTGCAGACGGAGAGGGTTCAAGATGACCGCCTATTCTAGAGCCGGCACATCCCTCTCAATAGACCGACTGAAGTTGTTTGCTTGCAACACAGAACAGCATGACCACAATGCATAGAAATTGGCTGCGCCACGATTCTGTAGACACACGGCAGAACAACGTATCATCAGGGGCAGATGATGCATCGGTGATTAATTGATTCCTTGAGGCTCCACGCTGTGGGGAGCGGAACTGTCGAGCGTGTACAGGTTCCGATCATTGCAGTCCGAGAACATCTTGCTCTAATGTCAGCAGTCCAGAGCGTGACTTTCGAATTGAAGAAGTCCCTGCCTACGTCGTGAGCGTATCGAATCTATCGATCGAGGGACTATATATAGCGTCTTCACGTCGATGCCGACGAAATGCTCGCTTTGCGCAGTGCTAATCCAGAAGATTCAAGGAGAATGTATAGGCACCGCATTGCGACAGGAGGCGAATTTGTTTCAAGTGCGAAGGCCGATGGTGATATAATCTGATGTCGATGCAGCCATGTATGGACCATATATCTGCACCATTTTACTTAGTAAGTGCAAGCTGGGCACCACGCACCAGAGTGTAAGCCAAATATCGCGATGAACTCAGGTGGTTATCTCTGATTCTCCGCTAGGCACCTGCGAGTTGATGTGTCACTGACACTAGAAGTGCTCCATGCAGTAGGACTGTCACGATGGGACTGCTAGACTTCCTGGGAACACCGCTCTCAACAGCAGCAGGAAACTTGGGACTTTTCACAGGGAAACTGCGGCCACGCGCCGCAATCGAAGCTGCGTAGCTGTCACGGCAGACATGGTGCGATTTATCAACATAGAAAATTGTGTGTAAATGTCGACTGAATTCTTACATATGCGACAAATATTTGCAACCACGGCATTTCATGTCGAAAATGTTTCACTTTGGCTGCTAATGTGCACTATTTGCCATTTACATGCTACATTGGC